CTCTCTCTCTCTCTCTCTCTCTCTCTCTCTCTCTCTCTCTCTCTCTCTCTCTCTCTCTCTCTCTCTCTCTCTCTCTCTCTCTCTCTCTCGCACTGACCCTCCGCGCCCTGACTACGTTGCAGAGACACGCGTGAGCGGGCCAGGCGCTTCGACCTGGCCCGCTTAATCACGCAAACTTGATGTACTTGGTGGCGCGATGGTGAAGTGGCACGATAACGCGATGGCGCAGTGATTTGGTCAACACATTGGCACGGTAGCGCTCTGGCGCGAAGGCGATGGCGCAATGGCGTGGTGTCGCGATGGCGCGACGGTGATGGCGAAGCGCTAACCCAACGGGGCTGGCGGTCGAGTCGGTCCGATTCTGTTTTTCCCACCTGTGTGTTCCTATTCCATCATCATAAGTGAAATGTTCAACTCTCTGTTTTTCTGAGTGCACTTTTTCTTTTCCAATTTGTCTTCTTTTCAATTGTTGCAGTGATCCATTTCCGTTTCTCAGCTGGCATCAGATCTGCACCACTCCTTGCAAAGTTAAAAACAACTGCATGTTTTTCGTGCAACTCATCAAGTTCCAGCATTTCGCCGTCCAGGTACTTCCAAATCACGGTTTCTTCCTCCTTCCCCTTGGTGTTCGGGTCTTTTTCGATTACCATTCACCTTGCACTTCGTTTTTTTCAATGAGAAATTTGAAATTTCAGAGCAGCATTGTCGATGACTTTGGAAAAAAGATGCTTTGTTCATTTGAGGGGTGTGGCCATTTGCCATAGGGGCCTGGAGCGTTTGTTTGAACGACGCTGGGGCTTTGCAACCCCCAGCTCTGCATCACTGCTCCTTCAAATGTCATCCTACTAGTATTGACGTGACTCTGAAGACTGAGCTGTTTGAGGTTCGAGGTTCCAACTGTCACTGGGCTGGGCTACTCTACCTGGTTGGCGGAGTGTGGGGAGGAATCAGAGCGGGCGGGGGGGAAGGGGAGAGGGACTTGGTTCAATATGTGCCTGTGCTCACCTGTACTTAGGTAATGTTCAATGCATACCAATCCTGGACATCTGTGCTAAACATTGCATGGCAACTTCTTCCTTGTTCCGTTCGTGTCCATCACGATATGTGTCTGCGTATTTTCTATCCTTCATTCCGTGATTGTCCGTAGTCGTCTCAGGTCTGTTTTAAATTTCTACCTTTCCCTGTACAGTCCCTGACATCTCTCCGAAACGGCTCACTACGTTATCGCTATCAGTTTCTCCTCTCTAATCCCATACCGTATGTGCGCTTGGTTTCCGCTCTGTCTGTATTCAAATGTACCTGGATGCACTTCCCATTTCATCGTGTCCCAAAATGTCTGATATTTCGTGTCATCTAACGCAGTCTCGGAGCTATGTCTGAGATCCAATTTCCTTAAAGGTTTCACTAAATTCCTGAGTGATTTCTGTTTTTCTCTTTTTTTTACACGAGTGAATTTTCCTACATTCCGCACATACATACATGTTTCCAGTTTTTCAGTGGAAAAGCAAGAAATCAAGACTCCGGATCCTGCTTTCCTGGAATTCGGCCAAGCGATTGGCAATGTAATCAACTCGGAGTTCGTGTCAGTGTTCTCTCAATCATAACTTGCAACAGAACACAGGATCACACCTTCATACCAGTATCCCAGTACTTGCTGCATCAGGCTTGGCAATGCATGTTTCAGGTGCTCCCGGACCGAAGAGATCACATGTTCAAACCTCAGTAAAGAACAGTCCTACTCAACCCTTCGATTATCAGCCACACATATTATGCTTCTCAGGGTATTCATACACCTGTCGAGACAACTACAGAAACTTTAACACCTCAAACACAGTCTTATGAACTCCACTACAAGATATATTCACTGCTCAGGCATCCGCAGGGGCAGCCTTGCAATCTCCAGCACTATACTTTGGTGTAATGTAGGCTAGTGTAGATAATAGAGTAGGTGACCACATTGGCTGGTAGGGAGACCAGAGAGAGGAGAGAATTATTATTGCCGTTCTGTTTATTGTTTGGAGGCCGGCGGAGGCTTTTCATCATCCACATAGTTCAACGTCCCCAACACCGGTGATGGTGTAATCACTGCTTTGTCATGTCTGCTGACTGCCTTGTCGGCATACGCATACTGGACAAGAGATTTCTTTGTGCTTGTAGTTTCCGTTTCTCCCAATCTGTTTCCTTGTCCATGCATCGTTGAAGATGAAAGGGAGCAGAAAAGGGCCTGCATCTGCAAACCCACAAGACTCACCTTGCCGGGAAATGACGTGGACGTGCCAGCCATAGAGCCATAGTAGATACTCCCTGTGCGAAGGTAGTCGGGCTCCTTGACCAGCGTTCGGAATTTTTCAGCTA